TTCCATTTATTTCTAACCGCTCGATAACTTTCGTAGGTGCTGGTTGATAAAGCCGCTTGGTAAGTTCGCCAGCACTTAGAGCGTTTTCTGAGCAGGTATTTACCTGTATGACCTATCCAAGGAGGCTGCACCCGTGTCACCAATCTCTTAATGAGTGGAATGTGGGGAGCGGAGATCTCGGTGAGATATGCCTCAAATTTCTCCCAGACTGTCTCAACGTTGTCAGCCACGTAGATCGCGCAACGCAGAACTGAAGCTTTGTCCTGAATTACGTTATAGTCTGCCCGCCAAATATTTGGACATGCCTCAGCGATATCTTGTTGACACCTAGGTATAGCACACCGAAAGCATATGCAGACATGGTCACTGGCTCCTAGAGGACAGCCGTAGGTAATATCACTTACGAAATCCTGTGAATTCGCAAAAATGAGATCCAAGGTAGACGGAAGTTGGTTGCTTATACATCTAGTCGGGAGGTCCACGAACTGATGCAAAGGCAGTTGCAATGTTAGCTCAAGGAGATCCGAACCGAAAGTGCCCACCGCCGAACTGCAAGATAGATCAGCCTAGAAAACTTCAGGGAGGTTGAAGTCACCCAGTATTAGACACCTATTGGCAGTCTGAGTATAAATAAATTCAAAAACTTCCCTGGAGTTACTTCCAGGACTTCGATATACCACTACAACTGTAAACTGAACACACAATAGTCGACAGGGCATCAACAGTTTGATCTGCGGACTGGAAAACACAGGTCCTCAACACATCAAGGTTACAACACACATAAAGAGCGACGCCATCTTGGCTGCCAACGGAGCGAACACATCTAAGTAGTGTGTAGCCAGGTAAACCTAGTTCATCGTTTTTGATATCCGGAGACAACGACGTTTTAGTGAAAGTATGTCGGGATGAGATTTGTCTGCAAGTAGACCCATCTCGTGTAGCTTGTTCCTTAGGCTACGCACATTGCTAAGCACTACCCGAAGAAACGGCAGCTCCAGCCCTGGGTAGTAAGCTACGAGGAGGGGTTCTGATCGGGTTAAATTTGACTTCCAGCTGATCACCTGAAAACCCACAAAACGAGGGCCCGGTTCACCAGCCGCCCGCCTGCTCCTGAGGTTTTTGATGATTTCCTTTAACTTCAGTCGATCTGCCAGTGGGAGGTGCGGTTGAACGCTGACATTGCTACCCTTGAGTTTGCAGGCAAAGCGCATTAACGCTTTGCATTCCTCCGGGGTTGAGGGGACTACACGAAGTAGTCGGGGTCGCGGATTTGGCGTATCGACAGGGGGGCGTTCCCTAGTCTGGTTAACTTCCTGATAGTGACAGTGGGGAAAGCAGGTAGAAGTGTCTTGTTGACACAGAGCTTGAACCACTGGATGTCATCCAGTATGCACTGCTTGGGAAGAGCTGCCGCGGATTCAGCAACGTTACGGAAGATAACGCTGTTATCAGTAAAAGAATCATCTCGACGAGGCGTATTCACTCCATAAGTCTTCGACTCGAGCGCAGTTCTGACCGGTTTGGCAAGGGACATGGCGGGTTTTTTCGCCAAGGGAGCTGGAGTGATTGAGGTTGGCGCTTGTGTTCTACCTCCAAATCCCTCACCGGTCTAATCTTCAGACTTTGCGGGTGTGGCCGAAGTCGACACGGCGCGTTTCTTCGCCGACGGAACTGGGGTGATTGCAGTTGGAGCTTTGTGCTCTACCACCATTACCTTTATGGATTCAGTAGCTTCAGGCTTTGAGGGGGCCTTACAAACTTTCTTAGCCCTCTTCCTCTTACTTTTATTAGGCACAAAAGATAGAAGATCGGTCTTGCCTTGGACGACGTCCAGTACGGCACCATAGTCCTCGTTAGGGGTATTCTGGACCGCTGGGGCGCATGGCACGGTGGCCGGTGGCCGAGTGGTTGGCACGTTTGCTTTCCAACCATAAGGTCACCGGTTCGACTCCGCGTAGGGGTGGGCGTCCTCGCGGTATACTCAGCCCGCGCGCGACTAGTGGTGGTCGCGCGGCAGCGAAGCGTCGTTACGGCGTATAAGCTGACACATTTCATTTTTTTTCATTTTCACGGCACGGTAGGCACAACCTCAGTCGGATTCTTATCAACAGCAATTGAGGTTAGTTGCGTGGATTCGTCCGATGAACCGACATCAATAGACTTACATTTTCCTCATCAGTAAGTCCACTTTGCGATCAAGAGATGTGAGGAAAGACCACATCTACTGGTTACCCAGCCCGAAGTTGCTCGATGTCTCCTTAGTGACCTCAAGACGCGTAGATCGACGGTAACGGCATAGAAGACAATTGAACAGCACGCTATCGCTAGTCGAGAACATTGCGTACTGAACAGAGCCCAAATCGGTACAGGTCTCATGGGACCAGCAGTTGCACACAGAGCACTGTATGTCACCAGACTCGTTCGTCACGGGATTTGAGCAGCTCACGCTGCCGTATACAGCATTAGATTCGCTAAGCAAAGCAGCCGAAGACACATAAGCGCCGGTATTCAGTGATTCAGACATAACGCGTTCAAAAAGTGGGAAACAAGTATCAAAATGTAAAACCGACAAGCTGTTACCTGCAGGGCAGTCAACAGAAACAGTTACGGGTTAGAATAAGGTGCAAAACGAATCACAAAACACAAAAATACCAGAAAGATAGCCAGAGGATAAACCCGAAAAAGATGAACGATGTTTGGTAAGTACCCGAGAACGGATACGACGTAATCCGGGGAAAACAGTGATTCAAAATTATTCCGATCAAGAGAAATCCGACAAAAGTCAATTTTTTTGCATGACACTTGTAAACACTGTTCCGAAACTGTCCGTTGTAAGTAAAACCTTAAAATGACACCCCGCTCAAAGATTCCAACAGGTTATCTTACACTGTACAAAACAAAAGCTTCCCTGCAACTTGGTTTGCCTTTTGGAATCGCTATGAGGGCTCCCACTGAAAGCCTATCTATTTCTGAGCACGCCGAAACATACTGCTGCATACTCCAACAAGTGAAATATACTTGCAAAACTCAAGATACCGTTACAGAACTCAGACAGGACAGCGACTCAATTAACGACCAGCTAGTGAATGTTGTCTAGTCAGCTCAGGAATCACCGGAGAGACCAGTGCAAACGTTAACAATGTCTGTGAGGCTGTTAAATGATTCAAACATACATAGAGATGGCGGATGTTGGTGTAAAAAGCAGAGATAGCAGCTGAACGCTGACGAAATCAGACTGTCGCTGACCATCGATGCCGGCGTAGCACTGTTCAAACATGTGGAGTCACCAAGTTATGTTGCCTACCGATTGGTGTTAGACAATCAACTCACTGGTGCAGCGTAACATCTTCCTTTCCGCATGAACATTACATCGGCTTGATCACGCCATTCCCATACCTGCTGAGTGTATACCTCCGTGTGTTTGCAAACACTGTCCAATTGAGTGGAGCCTTAGCACCGAGATACAATAAACTGGAAACAATGTACGAATGAACCGGACAAGGTTTGGTCGGACCAGTGCCTGCAATCGCCAAAAACAAAAGTTATGTTTGTGGGAATGTGCAAAGATTCAGTCAGTGAATTGACAAGACGCTTCACTGATGCATGCACATCATAGATGCCGCACGACTGCTTACGGTTGCGTGGCAGCTGAACAGCAGTAGTGTAGTGGTGTGCCGTTTTTGAGACACATGCACGTTTGGCATGACGGCGTAGACTTAGCGCAAGCCTCCCCTAGCAACGGTCACGACATACAGTGTGAACGCTGAAATAACTCATTCGAGATTATATCACATGCTTGGATGAGTGGAAACATTACAACCGACGGAAGGGAATGTCAACAGTTGGGAGCGACGGAATTAATGAGGGACTACTGATTTAATGACTGTACAAAGTGCAAAATTCCTACCATCGGTGGGCGACCAAGATGGCTAGGTCAGGTCTTCAGCAACGAAACAGGCCTTCAACTAAAAAGCGTCCCGTTTCGTGCGCCGCTAAGCAAGCGAAGGCCCCCGTTACTTCGAAGATCACTTCAATTCTGCAGAGATGAAAAAAGTAAGAGCAACCTCTCGTAACTTCATGGAACTATTGTGACATCCTATCGAACACGAGATATTTGGTACTAATCGGAATCCACTAATCTCAGTGCAAGTTCGGAAACAGAGTGGACTAATTCATATCTAGGCCACAATTAATAGCTTATATGGTATTACATTCCACTAGTGCAGAAGGAAGTCCAACTACGCACTACGTGGTTAGTGAAAAATTTCGCCCGGACATCCAGTCTGGACTTCTGCTTCATGATCTTCAGTTAGCGTCCCCGCAGATGGACTAACGTAGCTCGTTAAAATAGCGGTAGGCTTAATGTCAGTGAGACTTTTCATAATCTTACGCCTTTCTATCAGGTCTCACTAGTCTACGTCGTTCCAATGAAAACAAGCCTAAACTATGCCGGTCAATATACGAATTTTCACGCTGGCGTTTACTCATTCTGGTGATCAGCCTTTGTACCTTCTCTAAGCAAGCGACATCCTCTCGAAGATACGGTGCCCTAATCTGTACACAGTACTCTAAGTGAGGCCGAACCACCGCTTTGAATAAAGTTCAAGTTCAAGTCGAACTTGATGCTCAAGTGCTTCGCCTTGTCTACATATTGCAATGTCAAGGACCCAGTAGATATTTGCGCCGTAATCCCAACGTTAATTGGTGATAAGAGCTGACGTTTGTCCTCGCTTGATGACAGGCCCCATGATTCAGACCAGTTGGCTAGTGTTCAAAACCTTAGACAACATATTCGTATTTCCCCTAATGACAAGCTTTACACGGATCTCAGTAGTTCGACTCCTTTTGCTATTCGTCGTGCTATGGGCCGACTACATTTCGGTTTCAACTAACGGCAAAATGTCAGCAAATCGCTGAGAGGAATATAATATAGGACTTCAGGTGCTTCAACTTCGACAGTTGAACGATGCTGCAACGGGGGAACTGTTTTCAGATTCTACCTGGAAGATATTTGCATTTCTCAAGAGTGGTGCATTCAGACGTGAATGATACCTCAAAAGCATCGACGGTTGGAGAAGTTCGGTGACTATCATTCACATGTCAACGCTGCATGCCCTGTAGTGTTTGGCGTCATTAGTGTCTGTTAAACATACTATCAGCATACTGATAGCCAGAGCAGTTGTGCAGCCATTCATGGAGACGTAATGCAGCAAAAAGATCCCCCGGTTTCGTCTGGTATTTGACTCAAGCTGTTACGTAAAATCAAGCGTATGCTGGAGAACCAAGTTGCTTCTCAACTATCCGACAAACCGAAGAAATTAAGAAAGAAACAGAAAACAATGCAATTAGGTCCGCAGCCACTGGATTTTGGTTTAGGATTCAAATCGTTTCGCATTTCGACACACAAGGGATGATTAGGCATGCTGTTAAATAAACAGAAAGCAAGAGATCACTTCCTTAAGTTGGTGTACGTATCAGGGAACGAGAAGGAGTGGGATCCTTTGCTGGTTTGAAACAACATTATTCCAACGTTCGGGATGGAGTTCCATGACAACCGTAACGTGACGTTTGGATTTCCTCGCAAACCATGGCCTGCATCCCAGAAGTAATATTTGGTATTCATATTGCGGTAGAAGAGATGTGCTCTTGAACCGCGCTTGATTATCTTATCCCATAAGACCACCTCATTGTGGGTATTTTCCGGCGTTGTATATTCCGCGGTCAAGTATACGAAAAGCTGTTTCACATTCCAATTGAAAAGGTGGTCGAGTGTCGACTAAGATGAAATAGAATGAATAACAGCAGTGCTTACTTCAAGGTCAATGGTAACAAAACCTAAGTCATTGTTGAAATCGTTCGTTTGAGAATAATCGTTGGCAGAATCAACCGCGACTCTGCTTACACTTAGCTTAGCAGAGGTTGATGGCATATCAAAAAACGTGGAAAGGAAGCATAAAAACATGGTTAAAGATATAAATGTCAGGGTCACTGTCAGAAGTGCACTGCTACGTGCGAGCAAACTGTTCATTCCGAAAAATAATACGCGCAACGCCGGATCCGTGTGCGTAAAATGTCAGGAATACGCTCAAGGCCAAACTTTGGGTAGGGGCTGCAGTTACGATAGCGTTTAGACGCTAATTATTCGCCACTCCACACAAAAATCAAAACACGCTTGTTGCAAAAATTAACTATGGCTCAAAAGTTAGGATTAGAATTATACATGGGCATTAACACGATAAATAATCTACTTTATCGGCAGCCAAACGGCTTCTAATTGTGCTAAGCAACGTTGTACAACAACACAACATACCTAGGCAGCGAATAGCAAAGTATTATTATTAAATTTAAGCATCCATAGTACGCTTACTGGTAATCGCACTTAGTTTTCAAATTGCCGCCACCCGCGAATTAGATGGTCCCAATAACACGTACGAAGTACTCGAGCAACGCGGACAAATAGACGAGGAAGTTTGACCTTAACTTTTGGCCGCTTAACAAAGTGCGGTTCCGTCCAAACATTAATATACCATTGTAGCCGGAATGATCAAGCTTAGGATAAGCTCGATTGATGTTAACCAATTAATAGGTATTACCCTTGTCCATTATACCAATGCATTCTATAAGTTCAGTTCAGTTCAGTTCAGATAGGGACTGGAACGATAGGAGAATCCCGTGAGCGTTCCATCTTGAGTGGATCATTGAGCCAGGAATTGATGAAGTGCTCAGTTATTGATGAATCTAAAACGGAAACACCCGTATCGCACCCTGGCCAACCAGTTAATGCCCACGTTTCCTGCCCTAGCAGTCCTTGCTGTGGCAGTCACGTGAAGTAAGCAAAGGATAGGAAGAGAAATCGAAGGTACATAATAGGGAAGTGAACTTAAATAAGAAAATAATACCAATACGTGAAGAAAAGTAGAGGAAAGAAAATCGAAGTACGAAGATGCGAGTTACTCAGGAAAATGCAAAGGTTTCGTGTTGCCACCCAAGAGCGTCAACTTTCCGCTCAAACCCCTTAACCGTAGATACCCTGATAACACTTTCCGGAAGCATGTTCCAGCGGTCGATGACTCTGCGTGACAGCCGGATTTCTACCCTAATCCTATCGGACCGCGAATTGTCCAGCTTCGACGGATGACCACCTAGAACAGATAATCTAGCGAGACTGAATAGCCAAGATAAATCTGGACCAACCTTCCCAGTCAAAATACGGGAGGTTAGGATTAGGTCTCCTCTAAGCCTTCGGTAGTGCATTGAATGCATTCCCAAACTAACTAGACGCTCGGGGTACGTCCGTCCCCGTAATCCCTCGACAAACCTAGTACCCACTCGTAAAACCCTCTCCAGCTCCATTTTGTCCCAGACGAGGCAGGGCGGACAAGCCTGGACGCAGCATTCCAGATGAGGCCGAACGAAAGCCGAGAACAGCCTCATAAAGATGCCGCCCGTCAAGACTCCGAACGAATGTCGGATTAACCACAACATGCGGAAACCTCTGCTTGCGGCCCTCTTCCAGTTGTCGCCGGAGTGTAACGCCGAAGAGTGTACGACGCCTAGGTCAACCTGGCTAGATACACGGGGAGTTCGACCCCACCGACCAAGTACTTTGCAGGAAGACAACCTCCTCCAATACGAAGAACGGAGCACTTTGCCTGATTTATGGGCAGTAACCATAAAGTAGACCAGTCCCAAAGCTTATCCAACGCTCGCTGAATTGCTTCGGAACCCCCAGGAACATCAACAATGTTCCACAGCTTCAGGTCATCAGCAAATAGCAGCGCTGGTACCTCAAGCTCCGTGGGTAGGTCATTCACATAGATAGAGAACAGTAGTGGTCCAAGAATCGAGCCCTGCGGCAGGCCGCTGAGGACAGACTGCCTAAATGATAGACATCGGCTTACCCGTACACACTGTTCTCTAACCTCCAAGAAAGCAGTCACCCAATGAAGGGCGCGGCCATATACCCCGTAGGAGGACAGCTTTTGCGCGAGCCTCAAATGGGGTACCTTGTCAAATGCCTTCGAAAAGTCGACGAAAAGCACGTCCAGCGCGTGGCCGTTACCCACTGCATCCGCCCAATTTTCGCGAGCCACCAACAGATTCGTCAGACACGAAAATCCCTTCCGGAATCCGTGTTGTACATTGCTAAGTAGATTAAATCTACTCAGATGACTCTCCAATGAATCTCTCACCAGTTTCTCGAGGAGTTTGACTACTACACTCGTCAGACTAACTGGCCTGTAATTTGCAAGCAGACCCCTGTCCCCATGTTTAAAGATGGGACAGATGACAGCTTACATCCATTCGGAAGTCAATGCACAACTGTCAAGCGATTTCTGAAACACAATAGCGAGCGGTCCACTTAGTTCCGCAGCCAACTCATGCAACAGTTTCGGGTGAATTAAATCAGGCCCAGAGGCCTTAGAAGGGTTCAGCCCCTGTAACAACCTAAGAACTTCCGTCTCCGCTACAATAAATTCAGATAGTTCTGAACCCTCTGGGGTCCTGCAAACCAGCTCAACGCCTGTCAAATAGGTTTCCCTTACTTACGCTGCCGCATATTGCCCACTGAGTGCGCAGGCCTTGTCATAATCCGTATGCACATGAGTACCGCCATCACGCATCAACACTGGAATTGACATGTTCAAAAAGAGCAGCGCCTTTTGACATAAGCGAAGAATCTTTTTGGATTCTCTGAAGCATCGGCCCCTAACCCTTTTTCAAAATTGAGCCGAGCATCCCTTAGGTGTTGCTTGCACCTATTTCTAGCTTTACGGTACCTGTCATAAGTATCGGTGGACGGAGCGTCTCGGTAGGTCCGCCAACATTTAGACCTCTTTGTGAGCATATGCCTGCCAGTGGGATCTATCCAGGGCGGCTGTGCTCGGGCCTCCTTTCGCCTTGTGACCGGTATGAAGGGAGCAGAGACCTCTGTGAGGTAAGACATAAATTTATCCCAGGCAACCTGGACAGTATCATCATCTGAGATCTCACAATGGAAACCAGAAGCCTTGGCTCTCATTGATTGATAGTCTGCTTGCCATATGTTCGGGCGAGACTCAACAGTACTCTGTAGCGTCTAGACCGAGTACAATTGAAGAGCAAACAAACGTGATCACTGGAACCCAGTGGAGGTCCGGAAGTAATGTCATCAACAAAATCGAGTGACTTAGCGAATACAAGGTCTAAGATAGATGGTACTTGGGCGTCCATGTACCTAGTGGGGAGGTCAATGAACTGGTGCAAAGATACTTGGAGCGTAAGTTCAAGCAGATCAACGCCAAATGTGCCTGACGCTGAGTCACAAGAAAGATCTGGCCAGCTAATCTCTGGGAGGTTGAAGTCGCCGGCCACCAAACACATATTTGCGGACTGGGAGCGAATGAATTCGAGTACCTCTTTGGATACGCTCCCAGGGCTTCTATACACAATTACAACGGTAACCTGAGCCGAGGATGTTCTAATAACAGCCGATAGAGCTTCAAAAGTTTTGTCTGCCGACTGAAATAAACAAGTCTTCAAAACGTCAAGTTTACAGCTCACATAAAGAGCGACGCCCCCCCTGTCGGCCAGCAGAGCGATCGCATCTAAATAGTGCGTAGCAAGATAGATGTACTTCACCATCCGTGATGTCCTGAGACAGCCACGTTTCAGTGAATGCGAGTATATCGGGAGGAGACCCATCTACAAGCAGACCTAACTCGTACACCTTATTCCTTAGGCTGCAAACGTCACTTAGCACTATCTGAAGTTTTTCGTTAGACCCAGAACTGGGTCGTGCGCTACCAGTACTGGCACTGGTAGGGCGGAAAAGGACCGCCGGCTGACCACCTGAAAACCCGCTAACCGGAGACCTTGTTCACCGGCCGCTCGCCTGCTTTTGAGGTCCTTGATGGCCTCCCTTAGCTTCAGCCTATCGGCTAGCGGAAGGTCCGGCTGAACGCTAATATTTGTACCTTTCAGCTTAAACGCAAACCGCATGAGAGCATTACGTTCCTCCGGGGTAGAGAGTACCACACGAAGTAGCCGCGGTCGCGGGTTTGGTACGTTAACTGGGACGTTCCCCAATCTAATCAGCTTCCTGACAGTAACGCCTGGAAAACCAGGCAGAAGGAGCTTCGTTACGCACATATTAAACCATTGAAGGTCGTCCAACATGCGATCAGCGGGAAGGACAGCAGTAGATTCAGCCACGTTACGGAATATAACGCTACTATCCATGAAAGAATCGCCACGATGGGGTGTATTAACCCCACGGGTCTTTGATTCGGCACTCAGAGCAGGTGGCTTCACTACTAGTGATGGAACTGTCTTTAGCCCCTCCGATGATGTAGCAATGGCAGCGTATGTTTTTCGCTCCATTGTCGATGTCTTACTTTTGTTAGGGGCATCGATTTCACCGGAAGGCTTTATAGCAGATTTTGTCTGCTTTTTCTTCTTGCTAACAGGAGTAGGGTCCCGTGAGGCTTTTTCGCTCTGAGCAGAATCAAGCACACCTTCAGAATATGTCTTCTCAGTGAGAACCAAGATTTCCGGCAACTTCGGCTGATAAGTAGTGCGTGTTGTGATCTTCGCCTTCGCACAACCGTCAGACGGTTTGCCAAGTAACGACACTTGGCTTGTTTCCGGTGCCGAGACAACAACTTTTTGTTTAGCAGAGCTTACGAGGTTTCCTGGCTCTTCTTCGCTTAACTCGAAGTGACCCTTGAACCAGCAATTCGGCGTCGATCAGCGTAGGTATAGATACGACTTCCGAAGCTGCTTCATTTTGGTGTTCGATAGCCATCTGTATCGGTGACATAATGATAGGTGCTACAAGCTGATCATCAGTGTAAGCGAGCAAATCTGCTTTGTTGGAGACCGGTAGCGTCGTCATAAGCAGATCAATCTTAAAGCGAAGATCAGAGGGCATCAAGAATGAACGCTCTACATTTCGCAGCCGGGTATCAAGAGATTCATCTCCCGTACGAAAGGCTGTGCGGCCTTGCCGGCGGCTGCAGCAATCAGCACAACTGAACAGCAACTTTTCGCTAGAGGCCAGCGCTGCGTACTGCTCGGTATTTAGCTTCGTACAAAGCTGATGGTACCATCGGTTGCAGACATCGCATTGCATACCGCCTGAATCGTCAGTTACTGGTATATTGCAGTTTGGTCCGCCACAAAGTGCGATAACCTCAGAATGCGA